CAGCAATCTCTCCGAATTCGAGCTGACCGTCCCGCCAGTCCTTCACTCTTCCCGCCGCAAATCGCGCGCTGCGCACTTCAGCGCTCCCTCCAGCGACCGCCGCACCATCATGAGCGCCCCTCACCCAAGGAGCTCCGTGAGAAGTACAACGTACGTTCTCGTAGGCTCCCGGCCACCTGTCGTGCGCCAACCCGCTAACATGGTCCCCCAGGCTCGCTCCATCCCCATCCGCAAGGACGACGAGGTCACCATCGTCCGTGGTGCCAACAAGGGCCGTGAGGGCAAGGTCACCGCCGTCTACCGCCTGAAGTACGTCATCCACATCGAGCGCGTCACCCGCGAGAAGACCTCTGGCCAGTCCGTCCCCATCGGCATCCACCCCTCCAAGGTCGTTGTCAACAAGCTCAAGCTCGACAAGGACCGTGAGTCCATCCTCGAGCGCATCAAGCGCGGCCGCGAGGCCAGCGCCAAGGGCAAGGCCGACGCCTAAGCGTCTCCCTTCCTTGGACTCGACCTGGGGCTCTGACCACCTCCACACCTGACGATACCCTGTGGCATGCTCGCTGCTGTCGCAAATGTGCTCTTCCCCGCAACCACGGCTCCCTCGGTCTGCTTGTGGGGAGGCGTTCACGCTGAGGGCATGTGTTTCCAGACACCATGGGGAGAAGTCTTTTTGCTTTTCGGAAACGGAATCTCTCTTTTCCTCATTGGGAACACACCCTTCGAATAACGACAACGATTCTTGTTCTTGTCTTCTCGATCATGACCATTTTTCCTTTCAATCCGGCGTTTTACAACTCACCGTCCTTTCTTCCTCTTTTTCGACGGTTCGGCAATGGGGAACAAAAGCAGAAGCGCAGAAATTCGGCATGAGGAATTCAACCACGAAGAAACACACTTTTTTGGAAGGGGGGGCGCGACCAAGGTGGGGGAGGTGCGCGCAGGGTAGCACAGGAACAACAAAACAAATCCAACAAATCGAGAAACTCGTTTTTCTCTATGGCCGTTTCACTTCGCAGTGACTCGCTCCATGGGAGGTCCTCCCGAAGTCCAACTCCACTTCCCCTGCTGCCTCTTTTCTTCGCCATCTCTCCTCTCCCATCTTGGGGGAGGTCAAGGGCAAGGGAGAACAGCCGGGGAGGAGGAGTCCTTCACGAACCCCCAATCGCGTGACATGACATGAGGATATCCTCCTTTTGCTACACAATCATGCTTGACTAACTTGACATGGAACGCAGCAAGCTCACAGGACCAAGGTCGTTCTTTACAAGAACTTACAGGACCAACAACGAGCTCACGGTAGGTTGTGCCATTTTCTTTCTCTCATCATCGCACGCTAGAATATCTCCGCGTCAACCACCAAGTCCATGGTTTTCGAGGTATACGACTGGCGGAGACTAAAACCAGCGGGGAGACCTGTTCTCAGGATAACCACTCATCTGCTCTCGCATGAAGACTTTCACCTAGTTCTGCAATGAGGTCGAAAATTTGAACGCGAGGCACATTGCCTCGGTTTCCGACCACTACTGTCAAGCCGACCGTTAAATAGTCAGAAAAAATAGAACATACACATCATGTCATGCGGCTGTACACATCCGGCTATCAGCATGATGGCGTCGTTGATGACACATGAAAGTGAGCCGAGACTGTATAATTGCGAAAGAGCTAGTTAAGACCGGGAACTATCTTGACAGTGGTCATGGACGTGGCCCAGTGAACGAGGAGCCTGCCACTTTTGGCTACGCTACCTCGCCACCCGGTTGTCATCTGTCCCCATCTCCAATTCCATTCCAGCCATCCAATCTCATATTCGCAGCATTAGCAAACGTTCCTGAATTGGCCGCCCAAGACGACATTTCCCAGAGTGATGATTGCCTCGGCTCATTGCAAAGACACCTAAATAATCCATACATGGGCAGCACCATTAAACACCTGCCACCCTAGCCACAAGAACAACCCTACTGCAGAGAAATGCGACGCCATAGGAGTGGGAAGCACCGTCGTGGGTCCTGTGGAGGTGGATGAGGCTCATGGTGCACACCCCGAGGCAGCCACATAAGACTTCTCTCGTCGCCATTGAGTAGTGTCGAAAGTATGCCTCAGCTAAGCAATAAAAACCAACGGAACCAGATTTAAGACCGGTTGTTGGAAAGAGATTTCGGGCAAGTAAGCAATGTAATGTCGCGTGGCAAAGAGCAGAGGAAGAAGTTGTACCAGAGTTGTGACGGGTAATTTTGACAGGATATGTACTAAGTCATTCTCCTTGGTCAAACTTCTAATGTGTTATCAGATTATTATCTTCATTTCTGGCGTGTTTGACCCGCCCATGACTTTACTTACCATCATGGAAAGGTTTATTCTCATCCTTCGTATCCTTAGAGGCACCTTTGGAACCTAGATCCTGCCGTCCACCTTCCGCAGATTTAAGTCCCGAAGCTCGCATCGCAGAACTGGAGGGCGAGCTGTTGCCCGCAGAAGGCGACAAAGAGGCGGCGGCAGAGCCAGCATAGTGAGGAAGAAGACCGTGAGCGGTGGTAGAGCTCATAGCACCAGGAAGCGCACAAGCACCGCTGGTAGGCTTCTTGACAAATGTCATGGCTCCACTGTGTTTGCTGCAGTTAGTCTCCATCATTAGCTCCGACCACAAAATGTAAAGACCAGCAAGCAGAAGCACGCACCTGTTGCGTGTCATATTCTGTCGACCCTTGAACAGTATTTTCTCGCGCGACTCCTCGGCATCGTCCGACTGCGTCGACTGCGACTGGGTCGAGAGAAGAGGCGATTGGAAAGAAGGAGCAATAGCGTTGCTTCCTGAAGTCTGATCCGAATCGCTGTATTCCTGGCTGAGAATCGAAGTCGCAGGGCGGCCACGAGTGCCGGCCTTGTCTTTGGCAGCAAGATTGTTTCCGTTTACATTATCCGACTTGGTGTCCCGTTTGTTTTTCTGTTCGTGGCGAGTAAGGGAAAGCGCCAGTAACTCCTTCATCGTGCGTACATTGTCACTGGGGTCCGTGGGACGAAAGCCGTAGTCACCATTGCCATCAACGGCCCGCAAGATCTTTCTCTGCTCAGCCTGGGGCTTAAGACGGTAATCGCTGAGGTCACCAACAGGAAGACGAGACATTCTTTTGCTAGTCGAAGAGACACTGCTGTTGTCCTCGAAGCCACTGACAGAAATCTGCAACATTTTCTGTTCAGTTTCAGCTGAGTTTTGGTAGTCACCGGTACGCCCGTCCATGGATGGCTGTGGCTTGTATGGCGTAGCGAGGTCCGCAAAGCTGTTCTCCTTGGTCGGTGAAGGGGGGTAAAAGTCTTTACCGTCGTACTTCGGCAGGCCCTTCTGGACCGAACGAGGGGCGTTTCCCCAGTATAGATGACGGGCCCGAACCTCATCATCAGTAAGCTGGCGATGGTAGATGTAATCCTCATCCTTTGCATCCCGCTGGTTCACACCAGGGCGCAGTTAACCCTGCAGGTATGGAAGTCCGAGGCCGTTGTTCAGCTTCTGAAGATAATTAAAGCTTGTGGTCCGGACTTCGAGTTGGTGCGAGTGGTTGCCCATGGCGGGGCCAGTGATTTCTATGGAGGTTTGGGAAGGGGTACTCATGGAAATCTGGGGTTCTTCTTCGCCGCAGCATGGTCAGACGTCTCGCGTTCCGCCAGAGACTCGCGGCGGGGTTTATGATCTACAGCCATGTTGCGTGGCTGCGAGTTTGGAAAGGGGGG